TTTAATTTTGTGAATTTATAGAAATAATAGGTTATGGATAAAATCAAAAATAATTTGAAAAAAAAGAGTGAAAATTTGGGTTCATATGATGTTTTGAAAGAAAAATTAGAAATAAAGGATCAGAGTGCAATAGAAAAAATTGTGCCATGTAGGACCGTCCAGTCAGCAACATCGACGAATCGGAGCACGCTGCGTGGCGAGGCATATTGACGTCGGTGCCACGCGGGCGATCTGCTTGCATCGCGATCAGATGACCCAGGATTGATCCTGCGCACGTGGATAACCCAAATTTATTTTTTCTTTAAACGTGATCAGACGTTCGAGATCAAATTGTGATGGACGGTTCATATTTATTTTCTCCTTAAACGCAATCGGATAGTCGAGATCAAATCGTAATGGACGGTTTAGATTTATTTCCTCCTTAAGCGCGATCGAACGAACGAGATCGATCGCTATGGATGGTCCAGATCAAAACAGGATGAGTATAAATACCCCGCATCACACGAGAATCCAAACCCTAGTCGCCAGACCTCGCCAGAGAAGAAAAACCAGACGCCGAAGAAGGAGGCCGATCACCGTCTCACGGGGCTACCGCCGACCACCAAAAGAGGTAAAAATTTTCCCTACCAGTTCAAAATTTGATTCTGAGCACCCCCTAGCCAAATCGGAGCAAAAAAGATAGCAGGTGAGCCATAAATCGTGGGTGAAGCTCGGTAGTGCCCCCGCGACCAAAGTCCTAAAACCCTTCCGATGAGCCCCTTCTCGTTTTCATTTTACGTAATTTTTGATTATTGTGTTCACTGTCATTTTCTGTGCAGGTTGGTCGAAGAAAGAACCTTAGTCGCGAAGGAGAACCGGCGGAGCCGCCGCACCCGGAGGTCCCCCCGCCTGTGAGTTCGATTTTCTATGGTTTTTGGGCCAACCAAGGCCCCTGACGTATTTTTTTGTAAGGATATGGCCAAAATCGCCCAAAAAAGAGACCAAAATCGGCTAGGCCGAGGCAAACCGTCGCTGTGGGCGGTGGAGATGGCGCTGGAGCACGACAACACCACCGTGCCGGAACTCCAAAATTGACTAGAACGAGTTTTGGACACCAATTTTGAATTTATAGTGTATTTTTAGGTATGTGACAAGTGTTTTGATTTTCGCAGAGAAAATTCAAGAAATCCAGTACATATTAAGAAGCCTAGTAGATAGTGCAGTGTCTCGAAACATCGATCCGGGTAAGGATCCCTTACCATTTTCTCCGTTACAGCAAATTGAGATTTAATAATCGATAATTGTATGTTTTATGAAAAATTAGAGAACCCTAAAAATAATTATAGGTCACTAGTGGAGGTAGAACTGGTTAGTTCACGATCGTTTTGATTTCTTATTTATTTTTCTTTATTACCAATATTTGTTTACTATTATACTGTTCGTAACTGAATTGATGGTTTTTAGGGTCTTTTTGGTTATTTAGTTATTTGTTTCCCTTGTATTGTTTGTCAGTATTTCTGTCATTGGTTATTTAGCTGTGTTAAACTATATTATTATTTAAGTGAACTGTGAGTGTAAGATGAGATATGATTATTGCGTAGTTGATTGTTATACTGATGAAAATTTATATGGAAAAGACTTACTATGTACTCGGGAAAGGGTGGACAGACCCAGTATATAGAGAACTCTACCGTGAACGTTACCTCAGTCGGACAGGGTTGGAAAATCCATTACCAGTAAGGTTTAGGATATATGATTCACCCTCATACCGGACGGGGTATCGAGATTATTTGACATCCATTACCGGACGGAGTATGGGGAGGATAAGTTAATTTTTTAACTGAATATTGGGTTCACGAGTAGGAGGACATCCCTATGACCTCCATGGATACCGGTAAGCAGAAAAAAAATGAAAAGTGATCGTTTCTTGTTATCTTATATGTGATAATGAAAAGTGTATGAATATGATTTTTATAGGTTATTTTTAGAAAAAAACTTGTTATGTAAATACAGAATAAATGACTTTTTTATAGTAAATGAATTTACATAAATTAAGGGATCCATTGGTTGTTTTTTTGATTTTTATCAATCTTCAATTTACTGTATCTGTTATTAGTGTGATATTCTTATTAGGGTAATGTAACTCATCATTTTATTAACTATTTCAGATCAAGATGATTAAGATCCAGATCTCGATTAACAAGAGGGTCATGAATAGTTCATCATCTGGACTCTCTTCAAAAGGTAGTGAAGGTCGTTATAGGCTTCTTAGCTATTTGCTTTTCTTTTATTTCTTTAATTTTTGTTATTATTTTAGAATAGATATTCTCGTATCTTTATTGCGTATTCTAAATTATTGTGTAAGGAATATAAACTCTAATTCTATCATTTCGTTTTTACATTTAATTTACGAATTTATTTTTATTTAAGTTTCGAATCTCTACAGAAAGTGACTCAACATATGGGGTATCATGTGTTAGGAGCGTAAAATGAGATGAAAAAATAATGATACATAGTGAACAGAGAGAGTTTGAAGAATAAGAACTTAGTTATAATAAAACTTCAGTCTTATAAACAAAACTTAATGTAGTCTTCTAGTCTTCCGTGCCTCTCATATGAAAAAATATGTACCAAAAAATCAAGTTTATCATAATAACTTACTTGAGATAATTCAGTACGGGCAGATAAAAGTAGAACACTTCAAATATTTATGGAAGTAAAAAAAAAAAAGTTTTAGAGGCATGACAAACAAGTTAAATAGTTTCTAGTGCAATGATCGAACCTAAATCTTGATAAAGTCACATTAGGAGGATGCAATTTACCTGAAGGTCGATCCCTGATAAAGATTGCTTTTAATGGAGAGGGTATTGTCAGGAACTCTACTAATATAGATGAATGAAATAAGGAGGTGAAGGGGAATAAGTTCACAGGTTAAAAGGAGAGTAAGTTCTTAAGTTTTAAGAATCTAAATAAGATAAGTTGAATGAACAGGTTTGTGGAGAATAAGTTCTTAAACTTCAAGAATCTGAGTAAGATAAGTTGGACAGCTAGGTTTGTGTATTTAAGTTAATTTGTACTAAGTTCAATAACTTAGTAAACCAAGTCGGATAATTTGAGATTGAATTTCTCTTTTAGATCCGTTACTTTGATTCGACCATATCCCCTCACAAAGTCAACAAAAACCATAAACTTACTCGAGAATGTGTAAGTGAAATCATGAATGAAAAGTCAAATCCCTCTAAATAGTCCTTTTATATTCGTCATATATCGCCCACAATATATCCACGAGGATTTCTTATTTATGCAAATTTAATTAATAGAAGCAAGTAATTAACAAAAATATTAGAGAGAATATTAATAGGAGAAAATAAATTAAGAGCAAAGTTACCCAATACTAAGTTCAATGTATAGACATTGAATTCATCTTATATTCTGTTTAATACATATATATATATACACATATAATTAATTTAATTAATAATATTATTAATAATAAATCATTATTATGTTAAATTTCTAAGACTACAAAACAAAAAAGAGATCAAACTGTCCCATTGTTCCCTACAAAGCCATTTACTTACGTGAGATATATCTTATCATCATTGAATACGTGTGCATGACAAGTGCACAAATATTGCAGATTATGAAATACCAACGTATGTATGTATATATATATATATATATATGTATAATAACGTACAATATCATTAACAAAAGGCAGCTTTCTCTAATAATTTGTTAATTATTGATCCTGGTAATCATCCTCTCGAATGTCAAAGGCTAATTATCTTACGTTTTATAACTTTGAATGTTCTTAGTCAAATTTAATCAGGCCGCAAATATCACTTGCGTGATCATCTTTATATTTATATCCAAACAAAACACGCCTTTATATAATATACTATATTTACAATTTATATATATACATATATATATAGGGTAAACTCATCTTACATCTTCATAAATTCCAAACCCAGGACTCAATTAACCAAAAATGGGAACTTCAATTCCACAACCAATAGTAGCATTTCTAATCTTGTCAGCCATTGTTACAGTCCTCTTAGTTCCTTCAGCTTCTGGTTCATCATCATCAGCTCATGAGAAGTTTATTCATTGCCTGTCAACTCATGCTTCTCCTTCTCATCCAATCTCCACAGCCATTTTCACACCTCGAAACACTTCTTACTCCACTGTTCTACAAAACTACATAAGAAACCTAAGATTCAACACCTCAACTACACCTAAACCCTTCCTAATCGTCACTGCATTGCATGAATCTCACGTTCGAGCTGCCATTCTCTGCGGCCAGAAGTATGACTTGCAGATGAAAATCAGAAGCGGCGGACACGATTACGAGGGCACATCTTACGTGGCCTCCGTTCCTTTCTTCGTCCTCGACATGTTTAATCTTAGAGGTATCGAAATTGACATAGAGAAGGAGACTGCTTGGGTTGAAACTGGTGCAACTTTGGGGGAAGTGTATTTTAGAGTGCAGAGAAGAGCAGAATTCATGGGTTCCAGCTGGTGTTTGCCCTACTGTGGGCGTCGGAGGACATTTTGGTGGAGCTGGGTATGGTAATATGATGAGGAAATATGGGTTGACTGTTGATAATATAGTTGATGCAAAAATGGTGGATGTGAAGGGGAGAATTCTAGACAGAAAATCCATGGGGGAAGATCTCTTCTGGGCTATTACTGGTAGGTAGAGTGGATGATATTTGAATACATTTATATATTCATTAATTAAATGATACATATACATATACATCAATTATAACATAATATAAATAATTCTTAAAGGATGAAATGTATAAAAACATTTTCGAACTCAAAATTTACGATTTTTTAAAAAGAAAAAAAGTTTATCAAACATTCAGTAAAAGAAGTAGTTTATCCAAACAATGATTAGATTAACTAACACTAGATAATTTATCAGATAATATACATACATACATATATATATATATATATACTTGGTGATTACTGGCTTAGAAAAATATAAAATTGACTAATTCGATATCAAATTGAGAGTTCTATTCAAATAGACATTTTGTCAAAACTAATAATCTTGTTTAAGAAAAAAAAATCATTTCTTTTTCAAAAATTATTGTTGCGTATATGTTCTTAATCTGGGTCATCTAAAATTGATAATTTTTTTTAAAAAAATTGAAACGGAAGATTCTTTTTTGGTCAAAACATCGGAATAGTATTAAATGATAACATACGAAATAATTTTATAAGTTTAAAGACCAAACTATAATTAAAAATGTAACATTAAAATAATGATTTGCGTTATTCAGGTAGCCATTATTCGTCTCAATTCATTATATTAATTATTTTGAAAATCTCAAAATATCTTTTATAATTATTTAAAAAAATTATCATATTAGCACGCATCAATCTCACAATTTTTTATTTTTATATTAATGAAACAAAAAATATTTAATTATTTAAATAAGTTATCTCGATGAGTATTTTTGGTAATCTAAATTGGCGTAAAGAATTACAGGCGGAGGAGG